TTTGCCGTACATTATCCAACTTACTTCAAAACATTCAAGAGTAGACGTTATCTATGATATTTACATAGAAAACAGTCTTAAAGCACAAACACCTACAGCGAGGGGTGCTGGAACCATGCGGAAAGTTGTCGGCACCAGTAAGACTCCGAAAGCTTGGTCAAGCTTCCTTCGAGTGGACGAAAACAAGACGGAATTGTTTCATTTCCTTGCCGACAAAATTTGCTCGATTCATTCTGACAAAATGATTTTTGTGACAAAAGGCGAAAATGTTATGACAAATTCTTATGATGACCATAATGATATCAGTCCTTGTAATCACGAGGAAGCAGACACAATGGTATTTGAAAAGTGATGTAAGTCTTCACTGATAATCAGCTCAGACACTGATGTAGTGGTTTTGGCGGTGTCTCTTTTCAAAACACTACAAGTAGAAAAACTTTGGGTTGCATTTGGAAAAGGAAAAGACCTGCGATGGCTTCCGATTCACGAAATTAATCATACTCTTGGTCCTAAATCAGAAGCTTTGCCATTTTTTCATGCTTTCACTGGATGTGACACTGTCTCCGCTTTTCATGGAAAGGGAAAGAAATCGGCATGGCAGACGTGGGAAATATTTAATGATGTAACCGAGGTGTTTGGGCGATTGAGTAAGAAACCTGTATTGGTCAGTTAAGCTGATATGGAGTTGATAGAGGCATTTGTTGTGGTTATGTACGACAGAACTACAACAACATTTGACATCAACGAATCCAGGCTTGAAGTGTTTGCACGCAAACAAAGACAGTATGAAACAATTCCACCCACTAGAGCTGCACTGATTGAGCATACCAAACGAGCTGCATACCAAGGTGGCCATGTATGGGGACAGGCAGTCACACCTGAACAACATCTACCTAGTACTGGTGATTGGGGATGGGTTAAGGGGGACGCAGATGGGTTGTGAATTCCTCATTGGACACAATTAGCAGCGATTGCTGCATCTTGCCAGGAGTTACAAAAATGTGGCTGCAAGAAAACTTGTTCTGGTAGATGTAAGTGTTACAAAGCTGGCTTGACTTGTACAACATTGTGTTCCTGTAGCTGATAAAACGGAATACATCGGAAAATATGGTAGATTATTACATTGATCAATCCTCCAGCATGTCTTACATAATTTCCGATATATCAAACGGACATGTTTATCGCATATCCTTACCACTATTATTTCACTCGAGTGTATGAACTTTTACGACCCTAACCGGAAGGGGTGATTTATTTTTACAATTGCTGTCTGTTTGACATATTTTCATGTCATTTTATTGTATTTCAAATAGTTGTCTTGACCTATGTCACGTTGAAAATGGTTAGGATATTTTTTTCAATCTCCACTATTGAGCAAAATGGTGTCAACTTTTAATTCAAGATGGCTGCCGTGAAAAAATCAAAAGCATGTTGGCTACCCCTCTAATATGATAAAGTACACCCTCAAGAACATCTGTGCCAAATCCTATGCTTGTATCACCATTTGCATGATTTTGTCAAATTTCGGTACTAAGCCGCCCCACTATCTTGGTTTATCATCTTTTGGTTTACAATGAATGATACAAGTAATAATGGGAGAATTGAAAATTGGAAAGCTTTCTTTTCTTTATATTGCTCTATTGATCCTAGTTCCAAATGGTGAAGTTGAAATCATCCCTTCGTAAATTTTACGGACGCCGTCACGAGCTGGTTGACCGTTATGGAATAACCGTTTCACAGATGATATCGGATATGTTCCTTATGTCGTAACTACAATACCCTTCCCCTTTCACGAATGTGACCTACCGAATTAGACTATTTACCAGATTTGTAATAACATAAGCAACACGACGGGTGCCACATGTGGAGCAGGATCTGCTCACCCTTCCGGAGCACCTGAGATCACCCCCAGTTTTTGGTGGGGTTCGTGTTGCTTAGTCGTTAGTTTTCTATGTTGTGTCATCTGTACTATTATTTGTCTGTTTGTCTTTTTATTTTGGCCATGGCGTTGTCAGTTTGTTTTCGATCTATGAGTTTGACTGTCCCTCTGGTATCTTTCGTCCCTCTTTTGAAGTCACCCATCTGTTTCTATATGAAGTTAACTATGCAGATATGAAGTGGAAATGCAGATTGTGCAATTTTTCGCATCCACAATCTTGCATTTATCTTTTTTTCTAAGAATACACATAAAATAGACATATTTGTGATTCCGTTGGCCAGACATTGAGGTTTTCTTGCTGTCTTTTGCAAAAACATACACATGTGCGCATATTTTCACACATCTCAATGAATACGTTATGCTCGTTCATGTTCACACTATACAGACTTCATTAACAAGTGTGTGCTCCTTACATGAAAACTGCTCCAACAGAGTTATGAGAAAGAGTGACTGAAATTGACACTAAGTAAGTTCATGCGATGTCTTCAGTTGCTGTTTGTTACCTTGCTTTGACTCTTCCTAGTCAATTTACAAGATTTGAATATCGGTAAACTATTGTTGCCTTTATTATTACATATTTTGTCATACATGTTAGAAAAAATCAAGCGGGAAAAAGTTTTATTATTCTTAACTGAAATCGGAATACCTTTTGATCTCATTTAGTTGATTGATTGACAGTAAGTCGAAAAGATTGAAAACTTTATGCATTAAGTTGTTGTTACTAGGATTAATTTATACAGCATGAAATATCATACAAAAGAAACGGTAGGTTTACTCTCTCTCTCTCTCTCTCTCCGTTTCCTGATGTTGAATTTATTTTTACATTAAAGCTTTTGGAAAGCATTTACTATAACCTACCATCCAAAATGTTCTGTAACCGAAAGGTGCCAACGACATAAAAATGTTCTGGATCAGGGGTTGCGAGCAAAGACTGTTAAAAATGGAATGAATCAACCAAAACTGACGTTATTACACAAAAATATAATGCAGTCTATTATCTTTTTTCGATGTTTTCCATTTGTGTGACTAAAATATTGAAACAAAACATCTTAATATGTATGTGAAGTTAGCAGCCGCATTCTAATGGCAACAAATTTTTATGATGATGACATCAAATATAAAAACAAAATTGAACATGAACACTTCTTTATTTAGTTGTTCAACAAACATAGATATTATTTGTTAACAAGTATCGGGGAAATTTTCCCACACAGTTGATAACCAAAAAGAAGTCAATAGACCAAGAAATTTTACCACAAAGATGATAACCAAAAAGAAATCAATAAACTGGGGAAGTTTCCCCACATAGTTGATAACCGAAAAGAAATCAATAAACTGGGGACATTTCCCCACATAGTTGATAACCGAAAAGAAATCAATAGACTGGGGAAATTTCCACCAGCAGATAACTCAAAAGGAAACACTACTAGGGATGAATTAAACAACAAACATTACAGATAAAGTTGACAGAGTACACGAAATGGGATAATTACCCAACAAACTCTTGTTTCACTATAACAGTGTATATCGGAGCCTTTTATAGTCGTCTATTCAATATTGTTTTTCTCATTGTTGAAGACCGTACGGTTGTCTATAATTGCTACCATCCACTTTGATGGATATTTGTCTCATTGGCAATTATATCACATCTTCTTATTCTTATAGAGCTATATGCCTTAATCTGGTGAACTTTCCAACTTTCCCGCCTGTTTGTAATTGATTTTAAAGTCTAATTTCTGAGATAGAGGAATATAGTATCACACTTGATATACATGTTCAATATCTATATTCGTGTGTTAAGGTTTCTAAACTATGTACTGCTTATGATCAAAGAGAGCTTGAGAACAATGCAACAATCTGCTAAAAAAGTTGAAAAAAAAACATTTCAAAATGGACTGCTACTATAAAGAATACATACACATTGACATTTAAATAAATGATAAACATGTGATCAGTACGATCACAAAAGCACTCATAAACCTGTAACAGTTTAAAGACAGTTCAAATTTGAAGTATAATTCACAAAATTAAATAGCTGACAGCCTCAAATGAAATGTTGATAGTAATCATGTCTTGTATCTACATGTAACTTAATCTGTCGTTTACTTTTACAAAAATGTTTTAAAATTGTACCTGTGGTTCATATAAGGATTGTCAGCCCTTCTATGAAGAAAGCCAGAAAAGATAGAAAATATAACTGAAAAAAGTAATAATAACAAGGAATATGCAGAAAACATTTACATAGTTACATTTGTACCTTAAAGTCAAGAAAATATCCAACAGAAATATGGGCAAATAGTCTTTTTTCGTTCATTTTTTGTACATAAATTAGGCCGTTAGTTTTCTCGTTTGAATTGTTTTACATTGTCATTTCGGGGCCTTTTATAGCTGACTGTGCAGTATGGGCTTTGCTCATTGTTGAAGGCCGTACGGTGACTTTAGTTGTTAATTTGTGTCATTTGGTCTCTTGTTGAAAGTTGTCTCATTGGCAATCATACCACATCTTCTTTTTTATGTTTTCAAAGTCATGAAAGTTGACAACACAGTCATACAGTGATTAAACAAATAATGTGACTAGCCACGATATTTCCATACTTATGGGTTACCTTGTCTAAAATTGCCTGTTTTCATATTTATCGAGAACAAACCGAAACAAAACACTCTGTCATGTTGTTATGACCTATTTGTTGTTATTACAATGAAACACATCTTTTTGAATATCGGCATAATGAGACTATTCGATGACGACATTTTATTATGGAAGGCACTAATTTATAGAATACAAAATTATTGTATTTCATTGGTGCTTAGTAATCTTAAATGAATTTAATTTACTACAATACAAACAGATTTTAGGCTTCTTTTGGAAAATGTAATTTAAAGTATAACATTTGTCAAAGAAAGCTTTTTTTAAAGTGTCATTTAAATCAGATTTATTATGCATGTATCTACACCACATAGCTCGCGAAGCGTAACCATTTATAAATAGTTATTCTCATAAATGCATTTGATACGGTGTATTTAGTGTGATGTAATTTAGATTTCATTTAAGAAAATTTATAGAGCAGAGAATTTCTTTTTTAAATAATGTTATATGTTGATTTCGATATTTTTCACTTCAAACGATCACGTAAAAGTTCTTCAGAAATAATATAGGATGTATAGTTCAGTGCCAGGGAAAACAGAATCCAAGGTAAAGTGTTAATCTCTTCTTCACAAAAACTTCGAAATGACAATTAAACTTTATTCAATTAAATCTCGAAGAAATTGAAGGAATCATCTGAAAACATGTGGTTATAAATTTGTAAATGATTGATTTACTTTCAATGTATATATTATTTTTAATGAAGTAATATTTGGTAAATGCATAAACTTTTTCAAATGCCACTCCTAACGTTGGCATGGTATCCCCACCTTTTTCAAAAGCATTGAACTGCAACTGGAAGTTAATTACTAAAATATTTCAAATCTACAATGCAAACCTATCTTACGACTTCTTTGGACTACTGTGATAAATACTGTGTCTGAATTTTTTCTTTTTACTTATTTATGGAGTGACTATACATCGCATAAATTCACGTCAATTGTTTACTTTATACCAACCGACTGTCCCTAGCATAGATAAATGCATTTTCCTTCTTAAAATCTTTTTAAGAAACTTTTATTCTTATGGTACCTACACTATTTTACAGTTAGTGACAAATGTATGTAGACAAAAGCGTTGAAAATAATAAATGATGGGAGGGGGAATTAAGTGGATATTATTTTATAGAAATAAGAAGATGTGGTATGATTGCCAACTCTCCACCAGAGACCAAATGGCGTAGAAGTTATCAACCAAAGGTCACCGTACGGCCTTCAACAATGAGCAAAATCCACGCCGCTTAGACAGCCAAAAATGTCCCGAAATGACAAATGGTAAACAATTCAAATGAGAAAACTAACGACCTGATTCATGTAAAAAAAAACTATAAACGAAAATCAAATATGATAAACAGCAATAAACGACAACCACTGAATTACAGGCTCCTGACTTGGGACAGGCACATTCAGAATGTGGTGTGGTTAAACTAGTTTGCTTGTGACAAAACCTCCCCCTTACATGGGACAGTGATGTAACGGTACAACCGAAGATCAAACTATAAAAACAGTTAAAAAGGGCTTAACTCATTGGATTAAAAAGTCAGACATCAAAACAAATGAAAGATTAAAGATGGTCAAAAAGAATCTACTTGAAAAAGAATCTTATTTTCAAATGCAATACTGATAACTCTTAAAAATCGTGACTATATGACTCATTGTTTGGAATGTGTTTAACTTTATTATTATCATTGGCTGTTCCTGTGTTACACATGCATATCATATTGAATACATGGTGAAATTGTATTGATCATAAGAATGTTTGCGTATACAAAATATTCATTAAAAACTGTGATGTACAACGCACCAAAGCATACGGGAGAAAGTTTTTTTTTAATTTTATGTTTTAACTTAACATTTAGCGGTTACAAATTAAATTTCTCAATTCCAATTTGGAATTTGACCATTTCTCACGTCAAACAAACTTGACTTTTCTAATTTTCTGACTATGGTGTGTATATTTCCCTACTCCTTTGCTATCCTCGTGCCTGTAGTAACGTTTTGGATTTCAGTGAATGTAATATATACATGAATATGATAGTTTGTGGAGGGTTGGGCGCCCACAAACATGTTTAATCCCGTTACTTTCTAATGTTGATATCAAATAGGATAATTTACAACCCAAAATCTAAACATGAAGTGCAATAAAGGATTTGTTGGGGTACGATTGACAAAAATAATATGGGACCTGGTATTGACCAAAGAAGCGTGCACGTGTATACCATTAAATAAAAAATTAATTGTTAAAATATTTTCCAGGAAGTTTCAAAGAACCAAGGATATAGTTTGGTACGCAATCCGATTTTTTCTTATCTCTGGATTTTGTTTGATAAATTGAAATTATGATCCATATGGACTATTTTTCACGTTCTACACTTTCATAGGAATGATAAATAACATATACATTTTACGTGCTTCTGTCCACAATTTAAGCAAGACAACTTAATGGGTAGGATTGAGGGATAAAAACTAGTTGAACATAATCTGTATGCGTTTTGCCAAATCAGGAACTTTGTCGGTATTTTGATTATTATTACAAAGTGTAACCGTGTATCTTAAAAAAACGGGTTTAAGACTGAAAACTATTGAGAAAATCATTTAATTAGTATTTTTATTAGTAACTCTTATGAATCAATATAGTATTTTTATAGTCTGAGTTTATGCTGTTTACAGATTCCGATTTTTTTTCAAATTTAAAGACAATCTACAGAACAAAGAATCTATTCTACTATGTAGTATTATACAATATAAATGGATATGCAAATTTGACGTGAGTCTTTACACGTGATGGAATCAAAGCAGAATGATGACAAGAAACAACCGGAGTGGGAAACATATACTACAACTCAGAAGGTTACAAAAACTGCTGTCTTAGTCTTTACATGGCTAACTATTGTAAGTAGTTCTGTATTACAAGATGTAAGTCAACTGCCGCTAGATAGCTGAGTTACAGAAAAGTCAATATTACATCTAATAAAAAAATACATGCTGATTTTGTGGGAAAAAAACAGTCAAATAATAAATGAGACTATTTCTAAGAAGTCGGACTAAAATGAAAAACCACTTTTGATATGAAATTTAAAGTCTGAGACGTGCATAAGAAATGTAATGTGAAGAGATCAAGTAATTACCAGACCATCTTAAGATATAGACTAATATAATCAAAAGTTAGAACCATTGTGCTTTCGAACTGCATTTATTGGTGCCGAACAATTTATTGCTGAAATTTGTGCGAACAATATTCCAGTAATATTAAAAAAAACAACATATGAGATCATGCGATGACAACCTAACATATAGCTTTTCTTTGAGTCTTAAACTATTATTTAAATGTTAGTATTCGACGAAGACGAAGAACAAACTGAATCATTTATAGGAAAGCAAGGTTCAGAAATGTATTAATCCTCAAAGTTGCCACAGAACTACAACTGAAAACACAGGATAACTTGATTCAAACTTTCAATGAAGGTCTCATATATTGCCGTTTTGGTTGGCACATTTCTTAATTTTGATTTGTTTTAATGCAAATTCTTTTTTAAGCTCAACTAGCTTTTGGGAACTGTTGTAGACGGGGTTATGCATACAATGTAAGGTTAAGAGTGAAATAAAAAGACAAAAAAACAAAGTACCGATCTAAGAGTACTCGCAGCTACTGAAAGACTTTATTTCATTCATAAAAATCTGCAATAAACTAACCGATTCATTGTTCTTCTGGTAATGTGCTCGTTCCAATAATGTATTATACTATATGTCAGGATGACGCTTGACAAAGTTTTTAATGGTAACAAACAATAGTTTTCATTTACTTTCAGGGTTTATTCAATGAAATCACAGGACCAACTCAAAAAGATTTAATTATAAAAACAAATTCAGACTACGAGCTGGTATCCAGAGCTATATCTGGTCAAAGTGTTGGATATTTTATCGGGGCAATCATTGGTGGGCCTCTCATAGACAAATATGAAAAATGGTGTTACGTAACGATAGCCATTTGCCTAGATTGCGCTGCAGTCGCCATATTTGCTGCACCATACGCTACAAACACTAATACCTTATGGGCTTTACTCGCTGTAGCAGCTTCGTTTGAAGGCGTTGTAAATATAGGTAAGTTTAACGCGAATGTCATCATGTTTTGTTGTATCACAACTGGATCATAATAGACCTTTTCAACTATCTACACCTATAGTTGACAACGACACCGACAGGTAAAATGTAAGTGATCGTTTCAAAAGTATTAATGATCAAATATGATTACTAATAGTTAACTGAATTGAAAGACAATAATGTTTGCCTATCTGTATTTACCACAACATTTTTTTTCTTGTTGTAAAGCATTTGTTGATTTAAATTTAAGTGGGTATAAATGAAAGAGAGGTCTTTAACAATTTATATATTTTACTAAACATTTATAAAGTGTTGTTTTCAATTTTTGAGATTCTAGGTTACTTAGTACTTGGAAAAATTGGGAAAATGAATAATATATGTTTATATTCTATTTTACATGCACACGTGTATTTAAAAGGGCGGCACATGTCTGTTTTGGGCCTTGGTTGCCTCCACAATCATGATAATGTCCTTTTTGTTTCATAGTCTTTTAATTTGCTAATTTGATGTTCAACTCAATTCTGTATTCAGCAACAATTTTTACAGAACGTTTACGTATTTCGCATATCCTATTTCCTATTTTGGTTATATTGCTTTATTTAGTTTCATTAGAACAAAATGGACTTTGACAATAATGACAAAAGGAACTGATATTTGACAAGGCATGAATAATCATAAAATGACACACTACAATACATAAAACAGACATTCGTGGTTACCGCATGGTGTGATCTTCAAAACTGTCGGAGGACCATCAACAAACAGCGATATCTATAAGCGATCATAAACCCGACAAAAAATCAAATTTAAGTCCGCAGCATAACATTGTAAACTAAAAATTCTACGGAAAAAATAACTAACATATTCTGGGCTTGGGACAGGCACATAACGTATGACAATGGAGGTTTTACTTATTCAATTGGGTCCAAAACCTCCCTCTATGTTTGGACTGGGTGAAATAAAAAGACCAAAGGAACGAAAAGTAAAAATTAAGAAGAGTAGATAACCAAAGCGTAGATAAACAAAAGGGAAAATCAAGAAAGAATACAAATCCGGGGCAGTCAGGCAACTCGCAGACACTTTATTTGATTTCATCATTTGTGACATAATTAGTTTTTTTTATAAATATAATTTTTATGAACACTTTTCATATAAATTATTTTTATGAAAACTGGTGCAAGAGTAACTGTAACCACAAAATGTTTCCATGTACAAACCTCTCGTCGGTTTGCTTAGTAGTTAAGTTGAAATCTTTCGAATCGTCTAAATCGAACGCGGAGGATTAATTTCCTCCTTTCTCTTCATCTTTCAAGGAATTTGTTTAAGTCGAATTGTGATAGCGCAAAATGAGTCTCAACGGCAAATAAACTACCACCCATTTTGGACATTGGAATGGAAAATGAAAAAAATATTGTGTCACGTGATCAATACTTGGGACTACTGGAATATCACATTACTATAGTGAGCACGAAAATAAACTAAAAAAATTGATTTCCAAAATATGTGGATCCAAACACCAGACAAAATCTAATATTTTTCAATACATGTTATTCCCCATAAAAAAAAGAGAAGCAGTATTTTTTTTTTAGATCTGTATGTTTTTCTTCATTTTAGTGATGTCATATGTATCCCTGCTTGAATTTACGTTTGTCTGATTTCTCTTTCTTATTTTTTTATTTTCATACGTCATCATGGTTATTGATTTTTGAATGTCTTAAATTTGTTGTTTATATTTTTGTTGCTTACTTATTCTATTTATCTATTTGTTTATACGTACATATGTTGTTTATTTGGGATTGGAAGGGCATATGAGCTCAACTTTCAAAATAGGGGGGGGGGGTAATATATTTTGTCGGAGTGGTGGGTAATCCCTTCCCTCCCCTCCTTTATTCCCGCACAACTTTTTGGCAATTTGAATTAAAAATAAAAATAACAAATATTAAGACTTTCATAAAAGGAAATTCTTGTTATAAAAACTTTGTCTATCGATTTATGATTTTCAGTGCTACATCAATAGAACACATGTCTTATGTTTATCCTATTTTGTAGTAGGACAGAGGGTTCTCATACAGCTATGGGACGAAAAAGCAACTGGACCTTTACACCTTCTACACTTCGGATTTGGGATGGGATCAGTACTTGCTCCGCAAATAGCTAATCCATTCTTAGCAGTGTTGGCGCCTTCATCTAAAAATGTTACTTCAACTGTAATGCCAAATGAATCATTCGTACAACAAGTTTTAGTTATACCGATGCAAAACACATCGCACTTTCATCTTACAAATAGTACCAATAAAAATACTAGAGTGGAATATCTAAAAGAATCCAAGATAGAGACCGCCTATTTCATTGTTGCAATCATCATAGCTTCCGTATCGATTGTGTACTATATTTATCAGTTCTGTTCTCGGCATATTATATTAACTCCAGGAATACAAGTTGACGCCAAGGAGAGTAACTTTCGAAAAGTTGTACGATTAATCGATCCCGCAACATGTACAGATGGTAATAGATGGTTTGGTATTCAGATTTTCATTTTGTTATTTTTGTGTTTCTTTAATATTGGTGGTGGTGACGCATTGTATGGAAAGTTTATTAGAAGTTATTCCATAGACAAACATAACTTTTCAGGCGATGACGCATCCCTTATAAATACCGTATACTGGATAAGTTTTGCGGTCGGACGATTTATTGGTATATTTACCGTACGATTCATACCAATTCGTATCTTACTTCCGCTTGAAGTATCTGGAGCTTTATTTACAGGCATTTTGTTGGAAATTTTTGCGGATGAAAACGATTTAGCGTTATGGATTTTAACTATAATGATGGGATTATGTGTTGGACCAATATTTCCTTCTGGCTTAGGTTGGGCTAATGCTCACCTTGAGGTCACTGGAGTAGCAATTACATTTATTGTTATGGGTATGGCTTTGGGTGCCATGTCATACCTTTGGGTGATTGGATATCTCTATCAGCATCATGGTTATGACATGTTTTTTCATCAAATGATATTTTATGGGGCAATTGTTCTTTTCTTTACAATTCTAATGACAATAATTGGGAAAATACAAGGCGGGAGATTTGAAAAGAACGAAAAAGTAATAGAAAGCAAACCTGAAAAGTCAGAATCAAAAGTAAATGTGACGAAGTGTTACAAATTTGATACCAAACTTTAATGGTGAAACTTCTAGTGAAAAGCAACGGAACTGAATGGATTCTATAATGATATTGATTCTGATATTATTAGTTACATAGTGTGCTAGTGGCCTAATACGATATATATGGGGTCAGTAAATTCCATATGGGGTAACGAATTTATCTTAACATGTGGTATTTAGACTAGTGGCATATCAAAGTGATCAATCTTCAATACCGTTAGTATTAAGAACCTTCTTCCATTGGTCTAAACAAAAACAAATGCCAACAATAACAACTTGTTAGATTTAAATGTGTTTTATGAATGTATTTCAATCTTCATCATCAATTTCTTCGTCTGTTGAAACCTTTAAGATTTTTCCTCAACACCGTGTTGTTTTTATAAAGGGACGTAACACCACTACTAACCGTGTATTGAAATAAGCCCCGCCTACTTACCCAATATGGAATATACACGGTCTCCACGCTGTTGCTTTTAACCAATCATATTCCTAGAAATGTATAGGAGGTATGATAAAATAGAAGACACTCGACTTAACCACTCATATTTTTTATCCAAAGAATTGTAAAGTCAAATTATATAGATACACTTTTGAAATTATTAAGGGTTCAAGGTATATATAAGCCACTTAAACATTTTTTTTTAAACATACGCATAAACTATATATATGTTCAAAAATGATGACCACAAAACACACACATATATATACATGTACATTAATATATATTTGTATGAAAAAAATTGAAGAAGTGCACGCCAATGGGACAACAACCCAAAGACACGTTCGATAACTATACACCTAGATGTTAATAGAGCTTTCTTACAATCACACAAAAGCACATACGCTTGACGAATCATACGCAAGACCCGTTTTAATGATCCTTTATCTTGAATTATTCTTAAAATTTGACATATTTATGTAATCTTAATCAATGCTGTCATGCCGGGGACTAAGAAGGTGTTTCGCCTCAATGTTTGTCCAACAAGGACCAAAACACTGCATGCAAAGACATTTGTCAAACTTGATATGCATGCAACATAGGAATTTCGTGATGTACGATGTAAATATATATATATGAAAAAAAAACAGGGCGAAGGAGATAACTTAACATAATTTGCTAAACACAGACTCTTCAGAAAAAAAATCCCTTAAAAAATTGTGCTCAACTGCCCTTCCCTCCCCAAAAAATAAATAAATAAAAGGAATAAAATATTTTTTTCACTCCTTTTCATGAACTAACCTAAGAAAATATCAATGCAAACCCCCCCGCCTCCCCGCAAAAAAAAATTAAAATATAAAATTTTTTTCTTATATTGTTAATTTTGAAACCCAAAAAAATTGTTAGCAGTAAATTAAAACCAAACTAGTATTATTGCTATACATATAAACATTCATGGTTCTACAATCATGCACATTCACGGTTCTACAATCTGTCGATACCTGTATTTTGGCATTGCACAAGGTCATGTTTTTCTCTGACTGTTAATGACGTCTTTACACTAAATCCATTGAATGTTGGATGTGTGTTGACTGATACGTTAGTCTTATTTACATGATTTTTTTTATTAGTTGTTATTGGCTTTGAACTAGCTGTCAGTAACTGCGAGTACTCTCTTATCTGTTTCAACTGATTTTTATAGTTTGTTCATATGTTGTACTCAAATTTATTTAGAATCGGGCGATCTTTTGACAAATGTAAATTTGTCTGCTTATCATATTCAAAACTATTTAAAAAAATCGAAACTGTTTCCAGCAATAGTGTTCAGCTATGAAAGATCTCGAAAAAACTGCAATATGACTTAAACCTTCAGTTGACTCGAGCTCTTTATGGGAATTTTTGGTCTATATGTCGATGTTTCACTACTTTAATAATTAACCTATTAAATTGAAATCTAAAAAGATAAACCGAAACTATAACACTACTATTCTAAAAATCAGAAGCTTAAAAAAATAGAATCGAAACAGCTTAATTTAAGGGAACCAACTTTTTAAAAGAATGACCAAAGGCTGCTTCAAATTATTAATAACATAGTATTTCTTGACAATACAATCTATCATTTAGGTTGCATAATAAATATTACTGAGAAAAGATACACCAATTACTATAAAATAAGGAAATGTGGATGATTACCAGAGACAAACATCCAAAAAAGTCCAAATGTGAAACAGTTAAAAAAAAAAAAAAAAAAAAAAAAAAAAAAATATAACGATCTGATTTATGAAAAACAATAAACGAAAAAAACATATGACAGACAGCAACCAACAACAACAACTGCATAACAGGCGCCTGACTGAGGACATACAGAGTAAAAATCAGCTGGAAATGGCTTGACTCATTAGATCGACACGAAGCACACAGCACAACTAACATAAATACAAAAGACATAGGTACTGATCTAAGAGTATTCGCAGTTACTGACAGCTAGTGTAAAGACGTCATCAGCAATCTGAGAAAAGCTTAACCTTTTTCTATTCCAAAATGTAAGTGCATAACATCGAAAGGGTGAAGGACCATAAGTTACCATCAATGTAAAAATATTACAGCCATATTTAGTAATGTTTTAATTAAAAAAAAAAAAAAAAAAATCAATGTAAGCACCAACAAAAATTATTTTATGTTCGTATTGACCAGTCTTTATTTTTTTAATGTTTATAACAATAGGAAACGAACAATTGTCTATCGTGAACAGATTTATGCCCATGTCCGGCAAATTATGTATTTCGAAAAGTAAATACCTATCTGGTATGGCATGGTATTGGTTGCAAAAATTTGATATTTTTCATTTAAATGCAATATTTTTCATTTAATTGGTATATTTTTTCATTTATATGCAATTTTTTTTCATTTATATGCAATATTTTTTCATTTGTATGGTATATTTTTTCATTTAAATGGTATATTTTTTCATTTATATGCAATATTTTTTATTTTAATGGTATAATTTTTCATTTATATGGTATATTTTTTCATTTAAATGCAATATTTTTTATTCAAATGGTATAATTTTTCATTCAAATGGTATAATTTTTCATTCAAATGGTATAATTTTTCATTCAAATGGTATAATTTTCATTCAAATGCAATAGTTTTTATTCAATTGGTATAAAATGTCATTTGAATGCAATATTTTTTATTCAATTGGTATAGTAGTTTTTTATTTATATGCAATAATTGCATTATGGGAAATTCTTTGACGTCATAAGGTCAAATTTGCAACAACGTTTGTGATTGGTCGGAAATTGTTTGGATGTCTCCCCTTTCTTTCTAAACATGGGTGACCAAGAATTAAAAAACGCGTCAGAATATCGCCCCTCTAACTAAATCTAACGTTCGTGCGAGTCCTGCACTGGCTGTTAATGCCAATAATGGCCAGAACGAGCAAAAAATGCGAGTGACAAGTAATAATAATTAATTTGACACACAACTTGTTCATGGATAGCGCTGAAACAGATGCCTGCGTGCATGGCAAAAACACCTCCAATGAAAACCTTTTCTGAAGAAACTCTCCTACAGTCTACACATTGAAATAAAAAAAATACATAGCTAGCCCCCCTCCCCCTTCTAAGTCCAGATACATGTAATCATGACGTTCTTTAGTGCTATATCATTTTTTACTTTTCTTGATCCTCAGAGACGTTGCAGGAAGGCACATGAAAAAAGAATAAAAAGCATCCAGGACGTTACAATTATTTGGACTAAGCCCCCTCTTTTTAACTACATGTAGAAAAAAAATCACCTTATTACGACAGCAGAACTAGAAACCCACAAGTAGAGACATAAGCTGTTATACTCCGGAACTAATTCTTTAATAAAGACAATTCAGGATAAATTGGAACCAGTTACTAACCCATGTTACAACAATAGTCCTATGACATAGGACTTCACTATATGAGGAGTGAACTTCATATTTAATACTATCTATGATATGTGCTCTCATGTCTTATGCTGCAAATCATTTTACATCTAGGATTCGTTGCTGAGCTTTTTTTTACTGTTCTCGCCTCCGAATCCCTTAAATAGATTTTTTTCAAGCCCCACAGTAGTTAAATAATTACTATATGTCTTTGCATAAATAAGTATGCAGGGCATATTTCAAAACATATTTTATCTTCAGGACTTTTAAATGATTTACTTTTCAATACTGCATTGGGAAGGGGGGTATAAAAGTTTATTTTGTGACACATTATATAATATAATTAGGTATCCAACAAATTAAATGATTGTACGTTTAGCTATTATCTAGACCCGTACACAATGTATATAATTAGACACATTTAACAGGGGCGGATCCAAAACCTCGGTGTCTAGAAGGGGGGGGGGGGGGGGGGGGGGGGGGGGAGTAGGTTCAAATTTAGATATTTGTATAGAGATGTATATATGCGAGTATTGGCAGTAATGGTTATGGTGTGTGTGTGTGAGGGTAGGGGTTTCAGATCAAAGATCGTTTCTATAATTCTATATCTTTTAGTTTTTACCATTTCACTCTATTCTTTATCCTTTGATCTCTATTATATTTGTTCTAAACATGCGTGACATATTTGCCACTGGACATAAGGCAACCAAAAGTCAATCAACGTATTCTGTATATTTCATCATTTCTTTATCATGTTTTCTATAGGTTTGGTCCCGCCCCTTATCCATTTTTTTGCACATTAGGGACGACATCAAAAGTTAAATGTAGGATAAAAAAAAAAATAATTCATATAGTTTTTTTCACTGACCCCCCTACCCCCCCTCTTAATTTAATTTCTTAATTTGGGAAAAATTGATTGACCAATAAGGATATATATAAAATCGATGTTAATTAAACAAAACTTGCAGCAATTTTGACCCCCCCCCCCCCCCAACTATTTGAATTAAGTTTTTTATCCTTCATTGATTTTCTGATGTCGTCCCTTATCCTCTCTATGTAAACCCAATTCATGTCCTGATAAATGGTGACTCATGCATAGCATCATATGTGGTTATTAAAACAAGAAACATATTCATATTATAATAATTAATGTATGCTAGGACTTATAGATAGATGTCCTTAGTCCCAGGTCATGTAATAAAGTAGATCTTATAAAAATACAATAGCATTTTAATTTTGATGATTATATATATGTTTATATATTTAATAATGCCATTTTTTTGGAAAAAAGGTAGGGGCAAGGCGTTTTTAAAACATATCAATGGGACGCGTTTTTTTTTTTTTTTGTTCTTCGGAAGTGAGCCAGAAGAAGTCCATTTCTGTTTTTTTTTGCATTGGGAAGATCTTCTGGCTCTCTTCCACCTCTTCTTTTTTAATAGGTTGACGGCAGAGGCACATAACAAAC